AAATAAACAGTGCAGCAGTCTAGAGTAGACTCACACTAGTGCTCTCAGTTCCTCCTATTCTGTGTGTGCCCCCAAAGCAAGCTGAGTGCGTCCAAAGACACACAGCGCCACTCGCACCCCCCCCCCCCCCCCATCATGCGCTCCCTCCTTAATGGCTCCCACTGCTGCCTCTACGTCCTGGAACAGAGAGAAACAGAGACCAGCACTGCTGTAGATGAGCACAGTGCTTATTTGAGAGAGGACTCAGGCAAGTATATTGGGAGGGGGGGTGTGTGTGTGTGTGGGGGGGGGGGGGGGATACAACTACTGGGACATTTTTTATCTTACTGCAAGGAATACATTACGGTTAAGAATGTCTTGCCTTTAGAACCATATTAAAGAGCTCACCACTTCTGAAAGTGTTAGCTACCTGGCTGTTATTCTGTTCTAGTGCTCTTAGCACTTCACAGTCACTGACTTGGAACAAGTGTGCAGATCAGGAGTTTCGACTTTACTTTCTAATTAACCTGCAAGCTTGTTCCACATCAGTAATTCAAAGTACTGAATCCAGAAATGGCCAGGCAACCAACATTCTTTGGAGGATGTCAGCAATTACTATTTTTTACATACTAAAATTAGCCTTTAAAATATATATCTGACTGAAATTAACAACGAACTACAAAGAATAGGGAAATAAAGTCCTTTTGGTGAGAAATCATGATAAAACTTACCTTATATTTATTTATTTCAGGCACTTATATAGTGCTGTCAAGTTACGCAGCACTTCAAATATATATTGTACATTCACATCAGTCCCTGCCCTCAAGGTGTGTACAATTTAAGGTCCCTAACTCACATTCATACATACTATGGCCAATTTAGACATGATCCAATTAACCTACAGCATGTCTTTGGAGTGTAAGAGGAAACAGGAGTACCTGGAGGAAACCCACACAGGCAAAACATGCAAACTCCAGGCAGGTAGTGTCGGGGTTGGGATTCGAACCAATGACCCTAGTGCTCCTAGGCCAGGGGTCTGCAACCTTTAAGACATAAAGAGCCACTTGGACCATTTCCGAGAGGGAAAAAAAGACTGGGAGCCGCAAAACCATTGCAACATTTAAAACAAATCCGACACTGCATATATTGCGAAAAGCGCTCTGGTCATGAAGGGGGTTTAAGGGCCCAGTAAGCAAAGGGTTAACCAGGGCCACAGTGTATCGTCATAATCACAATCATAGCCTTAGGTCAGTGGTGGGCAACCTTTTTTTTCAACTGAGCCAAATCTCGCCAAAACCACAATTGAAATTTATTTTGAGAGAAACATTTTTAAAACTGAAAATACATCCCCCATATAGTAATTCATCCCCCATAGTAATTCATCCCCCATATAGTAATTCATCCCCCCATAGTAATTCATCCCCCATATAGCAATTCATCCTTCCTATAGTAATTTAATTCATCCCCCCATATAGTAATTCATCCCCCATATAGTAATTCATCCCTATAGTAATTCATCCCCCCTATAGTAATTCATCCCCCCTATAGTAATTCATCCCCTATAGTAATTCATCCCCCATAGTAATTCATCCCCCATATAGTAGTTCATCCCCCATAGTAATTCATCCCCCATATAGTAATTCATCCCCCATATAGTAATTCATCCCCCATAGTAATTCATCCCCCATATAGTAATTAATTCATCCCCCATAGTAATTCATCCCCCATATAGTAATTCATCCCCCATATAGTAATTCATCCCCCATATAGTAATACATCCCCCATAGTAATTTCCCCCATAAAGTAATTCATCCCCCATATAGTAATTCATCCCCCATATAGTAATTCATCCCCCCTATAGTATTTCATCCCCCCTATAGTAATTCATCCCCCATATAGTAATTCATCCCCCATATAGTAATTCATCCCCCATATAGTAATACATCCCCCATATAGTAATTCATCCCCCATAGTAATTCATCCCCCATATAGTAATTCATCCCCCATAGTAATTCATCCCCCCTATAGTAATTCATCCCCCCTGTGTCAATTCACTTACCTTTGCTCCACGCGTTCCTCTAGCTGTGTTCCCGCGCCGTTCTGGTCTTCAGGGCGGACTGTGAGAGGAGAGGAGTTCGTCACGCTGCCCCGCCTACATCCTGACAGCCAATGTTTGGAGGAGGGGAGGGGAGCGGGCGCCCGGCACATAGAAGAGCTGCATTAAAAGAGCCGCGGCTTGCCGACCCTATTGCCTGTCACCTGGTGGGCAGTGTGCTCCGGAGCCGCAGGAAAGGTGAAAAAGAGCCGCATGCGGCTCCGGAGCCGCGGGTTGCCGACACCCGTCCTAGGCAGAAGTGCTAACCACTTAGCCACTATGCTGCCCAATATGTGTTTAAATTTTTGTAGGTATGGTATTATTGATGAAGACATAAGAAACTAAACTGCTCTATAACCTTTACGAATGTTTTCAGTTACAATCCATTCATGACTAAAATGTAAATGTGACAAATTCATTTTTCAATGTCACTTTCTAAAATGTACATACATTTCTGATACATTGTAACAGTTGCAGCTGTTAGAATTACAGCTAATTACAATATATCTAATTCTATACACAGAGCTGCTGAAAGTACAGTTGTGTTCAAAATAATAGCAGTCAGACATCACTAACCTGATCAATCACTGTTTTTGGTAGAAATGATATTTCTACATGGCAAATAATTTACTAGCAGGTGTAGTAGAGTAATAGAAATCCAACAGACCCAACAGTCATGACATGCATGCTGCTGATTCTGTGTAATTGAATCCCTAATTGAAAAGGGGCATGTTCATTCATTCTTTGAAAAGACAGTGAAGCATGGTTTGTGAAGACAGTGAAGCATAGTTGCGCAAGCATCATGATATGGGGATGTTTCTCATACTACGGTGTTGGGCCTATTTATCGCATACCAGGGATCATGGATCAGTTTGAATACATCAGAATACTTGAAGAGGTCATGCTGCCTTATGCTGAAGAGGAAATGCGCTTGAAATGGGTGTTCCAACAAGACAACGACCCCAAACACACCAGTAAACGTGCAACATCTTGGTTCCAGACCAACAAGATTGATGTTATGGAGTGGCCAGCCCAATTCCCGGATGTCACAGCAATCCCACAGATGTACAGCAGTTCTCAGAAACAGTGGTTATACAACTAAATATTAATTAAGTGATTCAAAGGAAAGCAAAATCTTCAAACATTTTTCAGTTTATATAGTGAATGTTTGAGTTTGTAAAGAAGAATACAAACACTGCTATTTTTTTGAAGTGTCTAATATCACTTTTCTTAAATTTTTTTTAGAGGAACAATACAAATTTGATATATTTTTCTTCATGTTTTGATTTGGAATAGAATGTGTAGTGTTCCCAATGCATTTGTGTGTACGGAAATAAAAGCTATTAGAAGGATTTTAAGCTTTATTCACTTTTTTCAACACACTGCTATAATTTTGAACACAACTGTATATCTAAACCTTTTTTTTTTTAGTTTTGGATAGAATAGGTCTAGAACCACTTTAAAATTTTTATTGTGGTCTTTGTCCCTGCTAGGAGGAGTCACCTTCTCTATTTGTATTGATGACCATTAACACTAGGAAAGAAAATGGTTGAAAAATCCATTATTCTGAGTTTTGACATTTGAATGGAGAAAAGCAGTCAATCCTCTGCTTGGTTTCATCCAGTACACCACACACATAGACCAAAGAAAGCAAAGGATAGGGTGGTCCGAGGAGAAAGGATTTAAGACCATCCCCAAACAGTGTGTAGTTCTTGTGGCTATAGTTGCACTTATTAGGAAGTTTAAGGTCCATGGAAGTGTGCCTTGGTCATGGCTGTAGAAGAAAATCATGCTAAGATTGAACAGAAGGATAGGGTGAATGGCAGACATAGAGCCAAGGAAGACTCCCAAAAAGATACAGCCTGAACTACAAGATACATCAGCGTACAGTTGAACTGTCCATCCCTTTATGAGGGGCAGTGGAGTCAAAGAAAGAAGACACGAGAGGAAAAAAGCTTTAAAAAGTCAGACTGGAATTTACTAAAATGCATATTGACAAAAAACAATACTGGGAGAATGTTCTTTGGAATGATGATACAAAACTGGAGATATTTGCAACTCACATCTGTTCTATGTTTACATATGAAAACTAAAGCTTTCAATACCACCTTATATAATGTAAAACATGAAGGAGACGCAGTTATGTTTTGAGGCTACTTTCCTGCATCTGGCATTGGGTGCCTTGAATCTGTGCAGAACACAATTAAACCTCAGGACACCCAAGGAATTCTTGAGTGCAGTGTACTGCTGAGTGTCAGAAAGTTCTGTCCCAGTCGCAGGTCATAGGTACTCCAACAGGATTGTGACCCAAAACAAACAGTTCAAAGCAACCAAAATTGCTAACAACAAAACACTTGACTGTTCTGAAGTGGCCTTCTATGATCTGAATTCTATCAAACATCTATGGAAAGATTTGAAACATGTAGCCTGAAGAAGGCAATATCTGATGGCAGGTGCAGTCTCACGGAGAGCTACAGAAAATGATTGCTTGCAGTGATTGCCTCTAATGTTTGTGCAACAAAATATTGGATTTGAAGGATGCAATTTACTTTCGTCCGTTTCAAGTTTTTTTCAGAGAAAATTGTGGGTCTTTACTTTTTTTGTGGAAGGATACCAAAAATATTTCTCCACGGCTGTATGTGCTTGCTTGAAACAAGTTTACTTATGTGTCAGAGTTGATTTAACTATTTTCAATATGTCTCCTAAACCAAACACAATATCTTTTTTTGTTATATAGCAAAAATATTACCCACTCGATATCAGACAGGTATAAAAAGTCAAAGAACTGTCTAAAGCAATCATCCAAATTATGATTTTCATAGTAGGTAAAAATATTAAAGCAAGAAACGTGGGAGCAATATAAGCTTCCTTTCTTTCTGTCATGAGCCCTTTAATCTTTTAGGACAATAAGCTTTTGCTGACTTACCTCAACATGGCATTATTTAAAGCTTCCAAGAAGTAGTTGTCAAGCACCTCTTTTGGCCCAGACCAATGACAAAGAAGTAGTTCTTCAAGCAATGGGGCTACTTCAGGCAATGTAAGAACACATAAGCAAGTCACAGAGATGGTGTGTATATGCTCATCCGAAACACTGGTTAAAAAAGCAAGAGCATTTAATGCTTACATATTAACATATAACTACAATATGTCTTTGCATGGAACTGCTATGGCTTAGGAAGTATGGAAAAGCATTTGTTTAAAAGAGAACCCATAGGCCTAGCAGTCTCCAGATCTCAACCCCATGAAAAACCTTTGGAGGGAGTTGAAAGTCCGTGTTGCCCAGCGACAGCCCCAAAACATCACTGCCCTAGAGGATATCTGCATGGAGGAATGGGCCAACATACCAGCAACAGTGTGTGCCAACCTTGTGAAGACTTACAGGAAATGTTTGACCTCTGTCATTGCCAACAAAGGATATATAACAAAGTATTGAGATGAACTTTTGATATTGACCAAATACTTATTTTCCACTATAACTTGCAAATAAATTCTTTCCAAATCAGCCAATGTGATTGTCTGTATTTTTTTTTCTCATTTTGCCTCTCATAGTTGAGGTCTACCTATGATGCCAATTACAGGCCTCTCTCATCTTTTTAAGTGGGAGAACTTGCACAATTGGTGGCTGACTAAATACTTTTTTGCCCCACTGTATGTGTATGTATGAATTTAGGTTAAGGACTTTAGATTGTACACATATGAATGTACAATATATATGTATATATGTAAAGCGCTGGGCAAATTGACCTAAATAAGTACCTGTAATAAATAAATTGTATTACTTTCACAGTATAGTTCTCCTCATCAATCGGACATCTGCCCTGTAATGTAAAAAAGCAGGCAGTAGTCAGGAGAACTGATGAATAGTTTAAAGCTTGCCATAGATGGACTGAATTTTGGTTGGTTCTGCAGGGACCGGCCGAGATTCGATCCATCTATGGGTAGGCTGGTTGTACCAAAGCCGATCCATTACTCAATTTAGGTACAAGAAACCTGCCAGATATTTTACATTCAATTACTGTCGGTGGCTATAGCCGCAAGCAGTAAATATTGTATTTCTATGGCCGGAAAGGGTCTCTGCTGGCAGAACACAATAGTGCTGTGGGAGGGATTCCCCCATCAACATAGTCAGAATCGAGCGATTTTCTTTCCTTCCACCATGGGAAAGAAAATTGCATAATCTATTAGCTGCTTAAGTCACTAACAGATAAAGGACATTAGTATAATGTGCAGGCATGATCAAACCGCCTTCAAGACATTCCATCCCTGACATCATCCAGTTCTCTTAACTGACCCATTGAACCATGGTTTACTGTACATGTGTAAAGCTGGCAATAGATGGAAAGAAATTTGAACTAAAATTCTTATGAAAATTTGTATGACAATTCTCAGAAAATTCAAATATCTTTTAACATTTGATTTTGGAATCAATGGACTTTCCCAAACAAAAAATACACTATTAGAAATGTGTTTGTCCTTCAAATTTTCTCGTCAATACAGTTGAAAACTAATGTCGATATGACCCACTAATGATTAAAACAATAAACGTTCTTTGAACATTCTACCCATCTATAGTCAACTTTACTTTCTCCAATAGAGCTGCTAAAGAAATAATCTACCCTCAAGTCTACAGCAAGAAAGCAAGCAGATGCCTTCTCCAGGCTCATAAAAAAAGTAGAGCTAGTGTAGGCCAAGGCTGTTGTATGAAGTTCCCGATCCCTCAGAGGTAAATAAAAGAGGTTATAAAGGATGGAAATGGTGAGGAGGAAGTGGGTGCTTATTTATTAATAGGCATAACTATCCTTCCATGTGTTCCCTTTACAGTAAGTGGTCTCCCAACCAATGCAAAGGGCCATATTGCAGTGACTATCCAAGGGTACCCTAACTGCAACTAAACAACTAATTATTCCAGGGTGTACATGTAAACTTAATCAAATTCTATGTGTCTTGCATTAATATATTACAAATAAACACAGGATAACAGTGACTGCACACAGAAATGTTGTATTCAAAGGTCTGATAATCATTGCATATTACTATTATTAATATCAAAAGTATACCACTTACTCTTTTTTGTTTTCATCTGACCAGCTTCTCTTAATCCAAAAAATTAATGATGAAATGATCTGTGAAAAAAATATGTTAATGTTGCTATCCCTAAGCAAAATGATATGATTATGCATTTGACATGAGAAGATTGCAGATATACTGTATTTTTCGCTCCATAAGATACACCTGACCATAAGACGTGCCGAGGTTTTAGAGGAGAAAAAAAATATTCTGAACCAATGGACTGCAGATATAGTACAGGAAATGACCAGAGACTGCAGACACAGAACAGGAGATGACCAGAGACTGCGGACACAGTACAGGAGATGACCAGAGACTGCGGACACAGTACAGGAGATGACCAGAGACTACGGACACAGTACAGGAGATGACCAGAGACTGCGGACACAGTACAGATGACCAGAGACTGCGGACACACTACAGGAGATGGCCAGAGACTGCGGACACACTACAGGAGATGGCCAGAGACTGCGGACATACTACAGGAGATGGCCAGAGACTGCGGGACACAGTACAGGGGATGACCAGAGACTGCGGACACAGTACAGGGGATGACCAGAGACTGCGGACACTGTACAGGAGATGACCAGAGACTGCGGACACGGTACAGGAGATGACCAGAGACTGCGGACATGGTACAGGAGATGACCAGAGACTGCGGACACAGTACGGGAGATGACCAGAGACTGCGGACATAGTACAGGGGATGACCAGAGACTGCAGATAGTACAGGGGATGACCAAGAGACTGCAGACAGTACAGGGGATGACCAAGAGACTGCAGACAGTACAGGGGATGGCCAAGAGACTGCGGACACAGTACATGAGATGACCAGAGACTGCAGACAGTACAGCGATGACCAAGAGACTGCAGACAGTACAGGGGATGACCAAGAGACTGCGGACCTTTGGGGAGGGAGGGGGAGTGGGTACCTGAATGTGACAGGTACCCGCTCCCATCCCACTTCCGCAGAGTTGTCCTCCCTTTAGTGTGGGCACCTGGCTGTGACAGTCGGGATCGCACTGCGCATGCAAGAGAAGCGCTGCACTTTGTGAATGGCCCGGAGTCTTCTGGGACCTGTCATGTGTCCCAGAAGACGCAGGACCATTCACAAAGCAGAGAGCTTCTCGCGCATGCGCAGTGAGCACCCCGCTGTCACAGTCAGTCAGGTGCCCACACTAAAGATGCCGGCGCGGGAAGACTGTACAGCGCTGGACCAAGGAACAGGTAAGGTCCTGCTGCAGAGTAGAGCTGAGCGGCTGGCCCGGTATTCTGACACGGTGGTGGCGGCGGCGGAAATACCGGACTGGCCGCTCCATAAGACGCACTGATATTTCCCCCCCCTTTTTTGGGGGGAAAAAAGTGCGTCTTATGAAGCGAAAAATACGGTAGTTATTACACGTTTGTGATAAAAATAATTTAAAGTAAATTGTATGCTGCATTTTTTAATCTCCAGAACTATAAAATTATTACAAAGCTATAGGAAAAAGGAACTTCACAGACATTTTAACGCAGAGCATCCCATATGACTTTGGCCAGTCAACGGTGAACAAACGTTTAGAAAAATGCATGTTAAAAGGATCATGAGATTTTTTCTCCTGATGTAACAACCTGCACACAAAATCCAGACTGTCAGATTGCACAATGAAAATGTCAAATTACTTATCTTTTGATGAGAGCTTACAAAGAAAAAGAAAGTACAAGAAAAATGTTACATCTGCAATCATATTTTAGTTGACTAAATACAATAAAGGCAGCCATTGCTGCCCTTCTTAAAATGTTGGTTGCTTGGCTGTCTCTGGCTCTAGAACTTTCTAAGAATCCAACCCAAAAAAAAACATGCAGATTAGAAAAGCCAGAGTGAATACAAAACTCCTGGCTTGCAGGTCAGTGACTCATTAAGTACTGAAGCCACTGAGTAAGTAATAGAGCTAGTAAAGAAGACTTTCCAGAAGGAGAGGTCAACAATGGTAGCCTCCATAGTTCTTCAGTACAGTTTGCCTTCAAAAGAGCCAATTCATTTCAAAAGCACAATTGTCCATTTAAGCTAAACTCTAACTTTGAAAGAAATAGGAGTTCATTGAAGAACATGGGATTTAGACATATATAATTTAAACTGCAGCCTACAGCAAGATATAAACACTGGTAAAAAATGCTTTCATTTATAACAAAGCAGTACAGAGAGTAAACCAAGAACACAGAGGGCCTGTATTCTTCAATGAACTAAAAAAAGGATTTTACTGTGATTACAAAAATCCTTTTTTCTTTCTCCTTCACTGAGGGACACAGGATTTAGAGACATTTGGGATGTCCCAAAGCAGTCCAAATGAAGAATGGGCAGAACATCAAACAAAAAGTCAACGGGCCCACAAAAAAACACAACAACACAGAAAAAACTGCCTTCAGCTCAAAGAGGTGCCTGAAGGACCTTACGGCTGAAGCTAGTTTCAGATGAGGCCTGAACATCTACCTAGAAAAACCTAAAGAACATGTGAAAAAAAGACCAAGTGACAACCTTACAAAATTTGAAAAGCAGTTGTCTGCTACTGAAATAGCCATATAAGCACTAACAGATCTAGTAGGGTGTGTTTTAAGCAGGAAGGGGTGGAACCTGATCCTTAAGACCATAGGCTTGAATAATGATAACCCTCTTCCGGGTTCATCTAGGATGACAAAAAGAATCAGTCTTCCTAATTGAAGAAGTGGCTGCGAGACAAACATACAGTATATGGCACAGACTAAACCAGACAATAAAGTTAAATCTCTTTCTGATGTACTGGATCCAGACAGAATGATTTAAAGTGCTACTAAATCCAGGACCCTGCATTCACTATATCTGGTCTCCCACAGTACACATAACATGGAAATGCAATTTTTTAGTAAATATAAACTGCTAAATACCTTTTCTCATCAGTACTGTGACTTCTATCAGTGCAAAACAGAGCACAGGTTAAAGCTTATAGGAGGAGTTTTCATTCTTCTATCACTGTTCTATGAGGCTGTCCAAGAAAAAGAAAAAAAACTCTCTAGCAATACACACTAAACTGAGAATGTACAGCTTGCCCCCAAGAGTCTGTTCTATCAGGAGATGAATTGAGAACTGTGGAAGAAGGGATTAGACATTGTCAAACATTCTTATTACACAATGCAGAGAATTAACCCCTTAGGCTCCACAGTGAGTATAACAAACATGCTTTACTGCATATACAGACTGATTTTATTGTTGTGGGTTTAGTAACAGTAAAAACTCTTCCCGTTGGGCGCATGCCAATAAACGGCCAGAGGGGAGCGTGCAGCACCGCAATCTGTGCCTTCTGTGTCCACCTGACACAGCAGAACACAGATCACTGTACAGGACCGCTGTGTGAGGTCCCGGTTTATGTGCACTTCCTGACATCATTGTTTACTACTTGGAAAATCTGTGATCCCAGAGGATCACAGAGGTCACATGGTACAAGGCTATTCACAACAGCCTTGAACCATGTGACAAGCTGTGACCAATCACAGCTCTCACAGTATTTCTCAATTTTCTGCAGGAATGCAGCCAGAGAGAAGGAAAAATTATTGTTTTTACAGACTTTATGGGTGTAAAAGAAATTAGTGTAAAAAAAAAAACACCCCCCTCACAAGTAGTACAATGTCACTATGATGACACTGTACTGTTAGGGTGACAGTATGTAAAAAAAATACATAAATAATTAAAAAAAAATAAAAATGTAAAACTTTTTTTGAAAAATTACATTTTGTTTTATAAACTACTTTGGGTTATTTTTTTTTAACCAAAAAGATACCTGAATACATTTTGGCCAAGATTTATGAAGAAAGATTATTTATTTGCAAAATTTTATAAGAAAAAACACTTTTTTTTTTTCAACATTTTTGGTCTTTTTAATTTATATAGCAAAAAAAATAAAAATCCCAGTGGTGAATAAATACCACCAAAAGAAAGTTTTATCTGTCTCAAAAAAATGCTAAAAATTTCATATGGGTACAGTGTTGCATGACCACGCAATTGTCAAGTGTGATAGTGCTGAAAGCGGAAAATTGGCCTGGACTGGAAGGGGGGGGGTGAAAGTGTCCAGACTTGAAATGGTTAAGTACAGCATCCTGGTTTTGGTGAAAGGCTGAAACCACCTTATGAGAGGAAAAGGCTCTAGACCTCAATACGCTTTGGAGATTGCTGCAATTGTCACTGGATGCTCTGGTGCATTCAGTTTTTACCACCTTATCTAGAAGTCAAACCAGAAAGAATTCTTTACAAAACAAGGCCGCCAATTCAGATACATATTTTGCAGAAGTAATGGTGACAAAGAAAATCAACCATTTATTTTTTGAAATGCAGAAAAAAACAAATTCAAATCCCACAGAGTGATGGATGAGTGTAAGAGGAAGTCACATGAAAGAAATCCTATACAGAAGCCTTACTCAAAGAATAGGAGGCTAGCATTTTCTGGAACAAGATCTCAAGCACCAAAATTTACCCTTGATGTCACCCAAGGATAAATGCTAGTCCAAAGCTAATTGCAAAAAAGTCAGAGTACATTCCATGGAATATTTGCTGGAATGAAGGGTTCTTTCTATGCAACAAATGGAGTATGTCTTCCTTGTGCAATGGTAGACAATGTAGGAAGAGACCTCTACCTCTACAACTTGGGCTTCAACAGCCATGCCATTAAAGCTTGCAACTGGGAAATGGCATGGTAAACCATTTGTTGGGAAAGAAGATCTTGATAATCTGGAACAGTCCCCACAGATCATTTGTCAAGAGTCTGATCAAGTCAGTGTACCACATCCACCTGAGCCGGTCCAAAGCAATCAGAATCACTGGAAAGCCCTCCATCTTGATCTTGCAGAGCAGATCAGGATGGAGTTACAGAGAAGGAAAAGCATAGATCAAGTTGTATGTGAATTGCTAGAACGTGAGTCGCTGCCTAGGACAGAGTCCTTTTACCACTCTTGCTGTGGCAAGCCTTTTGGTTACTCAATCATGGTTGATGGATCCTGAAAAGATGACAACCAAGATTGCAGTGACAGCAAAATTACCTGAAGCTCTAGAATGTTGATCGGGAGATCGGATTCCTCCACTTTCCAAGGCCAACAAGGTGTCTAAGAGTCTTCTGCAGCCTGTCAGGCTGGTATTTGTTGTTAGGATTCTCCAATTTGTGAGCTATCAGGCTAGAGAGAACCTGGTCTTTGGCGATAGGCAAATATGTTAGTCCACAGACTGAACGAATTTGTCCCACAATGACAGGATGTAGAGTTGTAGTGGAACTGGTCAATCAGCACTGCCTTGAAGGAGGATACCATTAGCAGGAGGCTTACTCCAGCAGTAAGGCTGTAGTTTCTCCCAGTAAAGAAAAAAACTGTCTTGAAATGTGTAGGATAAGACTCAGATACACCAACTGATGAGTCAACTAAAACACTGTCATCTGAAGATTCAGAATCAACCAAATCTTTTTAAGGTCTGAACTGTTCATGTCACATTATCAGCCAGAACTTGAGACAACTCTTCCCTCAACAGCAAATTATCCAGATATTCCACAACGGGCATACCCTGGAAGCATAACAAGGCTTGCACAGGAGCCAAAATCTTGGTGATCACCAGGGGTGTACAGTAGAAGATGGGCCGAATGGCAGTCATGAACTAGAACTAGTGCTGGGGTCCGACAGCAAGGCAAAAGAAACAATATGTTAACAAAAAATCAGAAAATGCAAGTACACATCCTTGATGTCCACAGTGGCCAGAGAATCTCCCTGATGGAGGGAGGTTATGACAGACCTAGTGGATTCTATGTGGAATTTCTGAGCTCAAATGAAGATATTGAGAGCCCTGAGATCCAAGATGTGCCGGGGACAATGAAAAAATGTAAAAAAAAAAAAAACACAGAAGACCTGTAACAGCTACATGGAGATCTGCTATATGTGTTGTGACCTGAGCGATGTTAAGCTCTAAAGGTAGATGCTTTTTCAAGTAAGTTCATGTCAGGAGCTCTATTTAAGGACCTGGTAGCCCATGTTTATTAAAAAAGGCAAAAACAAGAACAAAAGTCCAACACATACTTTACATTTCCCATACGGGGGTTCTACTCCAGAAAAATACAAATGAAAAATACCGAGCCGCATGGTTCTCTCTGTTCAGCAGTACCTCTGCTTGTTTGGTCTCCCAGACCACTGGCTATTCCTTGCACACAGCCTTGAGCTCCTTAATAGAAAAAGCCTTGAGCTTCTTGGGTGCACACAGACTCAAACTCCTTAATGCACACAGCCTCAAGCTTCTTGGATGCACACAGAATCTGTCTCACACAGAGTCTCTCTCAATGGCAGCCACTGCTCTAACTGCCCTCCACTCCCCCTGCAACTCAGCAGACCAACATTATGAGGGCTGTTATGAGGGCCTGGGCCCACACCCTGTTGGTTGACAACAAAACCCAGACACTGGGTTGGAGATTTCTTACCTCCCAAGGCATTTTGAAATCTTTAAACTGGAGCCCCATCCAGAAATACAACAATCCAGAGAAAGCTGCAAAAACAGTTTTCTCTACTCAAACTCTGTGCTCCATAGTCCTGCACTCAGCAAATGTGTAAACAGTTTCCTTTTCCTGACCATTTCTATACATTTTCACCAAGTGACAGGGCCTTGCACTGTTACAGTCTGGTGACACAGGCAGCTTGGAAGACATTAAGTAAGGAGGGGGCTGAGAGCTCCTGGAAACCACCTCCCATACCCAAGAATCTGAGATGCTGTGTGACCAGGGGCTAACAGATGTCCCCCATCCAGAATGTTTCTTTATGTCAAAGAGAATGTGTCTACAGATGTAGCTTTCAAGGTTGAAGTCTTGAAGTAACAAAACAAACTCTTTTCCTGAGTCCTTAGAGGAGAGGTAGATGAGAACTCTTACCCCCAGTATCATCATTGATGAGGGTGTCCAAAGCAGTTGCAAATAGATGATGTCCTTTTGAAGGGTATGCACGGCTATCTCTTTGGGCATGCCTGCTCCTCAGTCCAGCATTTTAGCCAGAGAGTTCTTTGCCTGTGCAAAGGAAGGATACTTATACAGAAAAAGATATGTTGGATATTAACTAACATGCATATCCAGTAGCTTAGGGCTGCTTGTAGGCATGAGCTCTAAATGCTACGTCAACAGGGGATGAGTCTGCAGGGAAACCAGATCCCTTCTCAAGATCTTAGCTTCGTCCAGTAAGGTTTGATTGACTAACATTATGCCCAAAGCAGGTTGCAAGGCATAGCCTGCCTGCTAAATGTTCGGGAGGTATGAACATCTTATCAGGAGTTTCCCAGTTCCTGTAAAAGGCATTTGGGACTAGCCTGTGCACTTGAAAGGTTTTGATAGATCTTAAACAGGCAGCATAAGGATTTCTGAGATTCTGCACAAGGCATAGCCTGAGACAGAAGGCTACCGCTAGATCAAATAATGATTCTGAATGGAATGTGGGGTACATTTATGGCCTCTGCAGTCAGAATCAGCAAGGTTGCAATTTGGCCCATAAATGTGGGGAAAACCGCCTACGATAAAACCAAAAAGAGGGCCAAACTTGACAGAGCAAATGAAGACTGAGGACTGTAAGAACTCAGCAGAGGGCAACATTCCAGGCAGTATCAAGCCCTTTAGTGGGAGCACTGCAGGAAGCACTAGATAGTCAATCCTTATGTCTGTGATCCAACATGTTGCACTGCAAAGTGGGAGCAATGCAGCAGGAAATATTTAGACAGCAAAAAAGTAACAAGGTCTCTGTAGGTGGCAGTAAGGGCTAACTGAGGTGGAACTGCATGTCTCTTACAACTAGAAGCAGTGGCAGTAAGGTGCTACATCACCTGAATGATGGGGATAGAGCATGAGTGCATCTATCCTCAGCGTCTTAACTCTTTCCGTGGATATCAACAGGAAATATGGATAATAAGAGCACCCAATTGTTCTAATATATGCAGTAGCTCCCAATGCTCATAAATGAGTACTCAGTGACAAGATCATATCAGAGGCTGTGCCACAGATTTGGACCTGGAAAGCACACTGCAGTTAACTAACACAGTTCACAAAGGTGTCAAAACAGCCCAAAAGCAGCTCCCAGTGCAGCCGGAAAGTCACATTCTAGGAAGACTCTACACTCTTCCATTTCACATTTCTCTAAAAAAAAGGCTACATGTAAATTATTTAACAGCTACGAATAGTCCTGTTTCCATAGTTGCCATTTAAAAATGTAAAAAATAAATAAATAAATAATCTGAATATTACAATGCTTTCAGAGAATTAATAACTACAGAATATTATATATTTTTTCACTTCTTGATAAATATTATTACACAGGTTTGCAATACTACAGCTTTTGACCCCTGCATACTAACCCTTTGTAGGGGCCCATTTATAAAGCAGCTTTAAGGCTTAAATGCAACAATGCCGTTGCTTTAAAAAAATAGTATAGCACAGTACTACAGCACAGCTTTCTGCTTACTTCATTTTAATTAATTGACATGGGGGAAAGTTGGAATTTTGTTACAGCGTTTATACAGTGGACATCCTGTACAAAACCAAAGGAATAAACGTAAAATGCAGGTGCAGTGTCGAGTAGTCATTACGATGTTCTGCAGGAGGGTTATATCCACCAGGATCAGTGAGACAGCTTCAGAACGCTAACCTTTAAAACAAGTCAGCAATTTCAACTCCCACTTCTATCCTAGTAGGTTCCTTTTAAATGTTAAACTTTGCTGTAAGGGCCCAGCAGCAATGCAGTTCAAATGTAAAAGCAAACTGCCTAGTGTCCTATTGTTCCAGTTCATACCAACATACTGCATTGGTTTGTGCTGTAAAAAATGTCAATGCACTGAAGCACATAACAGTACACTGAAAAGTTAAATGATAATGTGAGTGCTATAATGTGAATAGGCCTTAATAGTAACCCAATTCTGGCCCAATATAAACACCAACTGTGATAATTTGGTGAGAATAAGTCCCTGTGGGACTTCTTTGGGGCTATAAGGGCTTCCAACAGCAGGAAGTACTTATAATAAGGGTTTTTTTTTTCAAGCAGCCATGTCCTTGTTAGCTGCATTGTCGGAGTGCTTTGGAGGGAGAAGGGGTGTCCTGTCCAGCCTCACAACTAGCCTCAGACAGCACATAGGAAGATGGGCCAGAATATTACATGTACCCTGTAGCTTTACATAATGCTCATAAGAGGTAAAATTAGAGGGAGCAATTAAATCAATGTTCTGCTACTTATTTGTAGTCCACACATAGGCTGGGATGGGGTACTTAAGCAAGCTGTATTACTTAAAGCAGTCTGCAGTGAGTTCACAGACCTGGCTATGCTGACTGTCACAGTACTAAGATTATAAAAGCAAAGGAACAGAAAGACAAATCCTTCACCAGGTAAACTAGCTCATATAGATGGACTTCAACTGTGTATTTAGATGGTGGCTTGGAGTTTACCTTTTAATCAGAGGTTTTACAAAATGGTAACCTTATGCTTTAGTGTTTAGCCAAAAGGATATTCCTAGAACAGTTACAATTATAAAACAAGAAATGCTTACATTTTTCAAAAGCTTATCATAGTATTCAGCAGTTGAACATCCCAGCTGGGCAATGATTTCCATTTTCTCCATTTCTTTTTTTGTTTAGATGAGGAAAACAGATGGCACACTAGTTTCTTTAAGAGGAAAGAAAACACAAACAAAAACACAATTATTTCAATTTGCAAGTTTACTTTTACAAGCATCCATTAATAATTAAAGTGGATTTGGTTATCCTCCTTTATAGTTAAATTGCATTTCATTTAGAAAAGAAATCTCATTTATGTTAACTGTACACTATGAAAGGATTTAAGTAACAAAAAATATCTCTCATCATGCCACCTCAGAGGTCCCACTCTGGGTGGATAAAGATGCAATACAATGGTCTCCACTTAGCATTAACAATGTCTTATGGCTCCATCCCTAAAACAGACTATCATTAACAAATCAGATTATAAAGAGCTCAATAAAAACAATGAGATGATATCAAACATTTAGCTAGCCTCAATGCATCTCCCTCTTACAAAAATTCCTGAGGAATCTATTCTACCCTAAAGCTGAAAACCAACATCCTTCCAACGCTGGTCAGCAGCAGGAATAAAACACTTATCTGAACTGCCGGATGCCTACATGCTTTCATAATACATGCTTTGTCTGTGTAACTTTACATGTTCATGAAACAATCATTTGGCAGCATAATTGGGAGTATGGTCTTTCAATTGTCATATACACATATATGAACACCTTAACTCTGCATTACCTAGACATGGATGACCGCAATCTACACTAACAAACCTCTTTGTGGGGTCCACTGACAGGGGAGCTGGGAGACAGGAAGATTCAGAGTCGATGGAACATGGAGGAAGGAGCAAGTGGTAGGGGTGCTTGGTGATGGGGAGATGCAATGTCAAGGTGCACTGTTCTAGGGGTATGGAGTTCTTCATAGGTCAGAATATAAAAGCTATTTGTAAGGCAGGCCATAGACGGGTCGAAAATCGGCCGTTTTTAAAAATAAATAAATAACTAAAAAAAACAACGAAAAATCGGTCATTCAATTGGCCGACATTACCACCAACGGCAAAAAAATCAGCCGATTTTCGTCCCGTCTACGGCCGACATTTTTACTTCTGTCCCTTGCAGAGAGCTCCGCTATTATATTTTACATAAAAAAGTCTTGCAATTGCAAAAAATGTATCCATTTGTATCCATTTCGGATACAGATGTTTTTATATTCAGATACAAATAGATACATAGTTGCAACAGCAAGACTTTTCATATAAAATATAAATAGCGGACTGGAATTCTTCTTCTTCTTTTTCTTCTTCTTCTTCTTGCAGGTCACGGCTCATGCGCAGATTTTTTTTATCGGTAAAACGATCGGTTGATTTGCCCATCATTGCCGGGAAAACAGGCCGATCGTCAAAATCGGCCGCTAATTTCCCAACTTTACAAAAAAAATGTGCCAAAACCTCGAAAAATGGACGACCAATTAACCCACTAACGGTGTGAAAATCGGCCAATTTTTTTTTTAGACCCGTCTATGGCCTGCATAAGCCTGCAGGGAAGAGTCTCTGACCGGGCACCACCTGAACCGCATCAGCTGCTGATCTAAGGTAATTGCAGAGTGGGTTCAATTAGCATAGGGAGGAAGGTCATTAGGATTATGCTGTTAAAATATAGTTGGCCTTTAGGCCTCTTTTAACCTATGTAACATACGGTACGCTGTGCAGTGCATTGCAATACCAGTCATTTAGACACCCTAATGCACAGGTACAGTAGGTGTCAATGGACTCACACTGCAGTGCACCACAACACAATATAAGTTGAACTGGACTGTGTCTTTATTCAACCTTACAAGTTATTAAAGTTATTAAACTATCTAACTAAATAATTGCCTAATTAATTATTTTAATTTAAAGGATAAGTAAACCTTTAAAATCATTTTCTGGACTTTTTTTTTACCCCCTCAAACTGGATGCTCTAGTCCACTCTAATTCTTCTCTGTTGTATACCAATGCAGCTCTGGCACCAAATCAACCAGCATTCTGCTGCAATGTTTACATGTGGCTGCTGCAGTTTCTAGTTCCCACTGCTTTTGCGTTTACATAGAATCACAAAGACACCTCTGGGTCCAGTAGAGTGATCTGTCTACAGGGGTCTATGGTACATGCATAGGAAGCAGAACCCAGATTTAGCATTTAGTGACACTACTGTTGGCCTCCTCTAACTTTCTGCAATCCCCACATATATCCGAAATCAGGTTCAGGAAGTCACTGCTAACATATTTGCAGTATTCTTCAGTAGATCATGTGACAAGTAGTAGCCACAAATAAGTTATAAGTGAGTGGAAACTTCCTACGCTGGATGCTGACTACTGGTATCTTAAAAAAAATTGCTGAAGATTTGAGAAGATCAGCAACACTGTCACTACCTACCAGGTCCACTCTGTGTCTAGTGTAGAATCTTTGGGTAGAGGATATCAGCAATGCTGTCACTAAAATGCCAGGTCCACTCCGGGGATAGTGTAGTGTCTTTCTGGGACAAGCATAAATGGCTCCAACACCTGGCACATGTGCAGTAGCAGCAGTAAGGTAATAACAATGAATCACCACTAAACAATAAAAATATTGATAACATAAATGAATGCAACACATCCGTAAAGATAATATAGTAGAGGAAACAACATTCATAAATAAAAGAAAATAGTTCTTTAGCATATTCATTGGGCTAAAATAGGACAGATAAATTGATGGGAAACTGTGAAAATGCTAACCTTTTCAGAAAAAGTGTAAATCCGAGTTATTTGTATTTTATTAATAAGGGTAATCAAGAAGAAATGTTTTTTTTGTTGGTTTTAGAAACAACAGTGGATCCTTCCAGTAGACACAAGAGGGCAATATAGGGCAACTGATAACTAGTTTTAGCACCATTTTGTTTTCTTTTTTTCTAGTTCAGGCATGGCCTTTGAAACAAGTATCACATTTTTTCTAAGGAACACAAATACATTATCTGGATGAAAGGAATTACAGCAGCTGATCATAATATTGATTAATTAAGAACTAATGAAATTGAGTGAAATAACATTAAAAGATCCTTCAAAGTGAAGTGGCACAAACAGATCTTCAACAAATACATAAAAAAAATCTCTGATATTGTCATAGTTTTGAAAACAACACAAATATATGTATTTGTTGGAATATAGCAATTTCACATTTTTATGTGATCTGCAGGTAGATTGTATTCAGCCTAGATATTTCCTTTGGTAAGTGTTCCCAGGCACAATGTTTATTTCCTCTGCTAGATGCTGTTAAGCATGCTCCAACAGTCTATTTTAATCAATCTGTGTTTAACAACCTAGTCAATATTCCTAAATCTAGGCTTGATGGTGTGAGCTTGGTGGTTGTTACCAATTTTGGCCACTCCCAGCCATATGCTTGGTTTACTCATGGCTGTAGTGCCCCCTACGCACAGATGATGTTGGTGGTCGCCCATCGTTGTGGTGTTACTGAGTTAGTCTCTGGCATTCTTGGGCTTAAGCCCTAGCAGAATAGATATCCTGGAGGAGTTTCTTCCAGGTGGCTGTGTGTGTGGTGTGGTCCGTGGAATCGGCGCAGTTCCGATGTGCTGAACTTGGTGCATCACACTGTTCACATTTTTTTAAAATGAACTTTAATTCAAAAATGTCACATTGGACATTTCATTAAAGTGGAACTACACTGCTTCTGAGCACCACAAAGCAAAAACGCTGTTTAATTAATTTTGAATATTCAAAGCAAACTCACCCATCCATCCATGTTTTATATTGCTGCAAAATCAAATTAAATAACACCCCCTAGAATTTCTAGCCATGGCCATCTTGAGTAAGGGTACAAGATTAATGGAGCATTTACTACCTGAATCCTATCTGCCCTTAGCTCAGACATGCAGGCAGGAGGGTTTGCTTAGCTAAGAAAACCCCTCCTCCCCTCCTGAAGAATCCTGGGATGTATGACACAATTTGCCTAGGCCTGGAAGCCAGGAAGTAACTGAAAATATGTAAAAACAAGTAAATATAAGATACTTTCCTATTTATGAACTAATTAAAGCAGCATAAGCATTAAAAAATAGTCAGTGTTGACTGAGAGGGTGAAGTTCCGCTTTAAGTTGAAATGCTGGCCACATGGTGCGAGGTGGTGGATTACCTCACACTGTGCTGCACTAAAAAAAAAGTACAGCACGCTGTACTTTTTTCAGTGCACACCTCCTCACAATGCAGTAATCAGTCCCAAAGAAGCCCCTGCAGTTGCCACCCCACCCCACATTGGATGGAGTGACTGGTTGAAGAAAAGGTTTATATAAGAACCTTCTTATCTCTCTTGTCTCAAGATCCTACTAAAACTTTGATCTCTAGGAAGCCAATATCCACTAGGTAAACTCAGCCTAATGCAGAGCTGGGCAAATTGTGGCCTCCAGACACAATTTGCTGTCCTTATCTGGCCCGTCATGTCTCCACTGTCAGCATGCCTCTCTGAGACAAGGTGACAGATTTCCATATGAAGAGCTGCAAGAACTGTAAGGAGAGAGCCTGAGGAATTGATTGGTACCAGCAGGGAGGCTCACTGCTGGTGGTGGCACAGCATTGCCTACCAGACTTCTCCTGCCACTCCAATACCCGGTCAAGTTCTTCTTGTTTTAGTGCCTGCATGCACCTGTGCTTCATTCCAGGTCAGTAGGTCCGGATTTGCAGAAATCCCCACTGTATCAATCTCAGACTCTCTCCTTACGGTCACAGTACTTTTCAGAGGGCATTTAACAAGCAATGAGGAGGCGTTATAATGCCTCTTCACAGCCCAATTTAATCCTATAATACTGATTTGTATGCGGCCTCATTGAACTCAATTGGCAAGTTTGACAAACGATGCAGCATGTCAAGCTCTGCACCCTGTGTTAAAAATTCCATGGCGCAAAGCAAAGCTGGACTGGCCGGGAGGTGGTAAAACTCTGGCTCAGTCATCCATTTTTACCACCCTGCCAATGCCAGGTGTTTTTTTTCTATATGTTAACACATAGCGTTCCCAGATCCAAAATTAATATTGAGCAGAATTAAGTTGGACCCTCCACAACAGTCCCAGTTTTTCATGTAGCTCCTTGGAAAAATTATTTGCCCACCCCTGGTCTAACAGACATTAAATTAAAGATAGTGTAAAGCTAATGTACAGCAGA